TCTTCCGATCTTAAGTATAACTATTAATAAATAAAATACAATGTATAACATAAAATAAATGTATAAAATTAAAATTCATAAATCATACTTTTTGAGAAAAATTAATATAACTATTAAATAAGTTTAGAAAATTATATTACTAATTATATATTGAATAAATTTAGAAAATGACATTACTTACACATATATATTTATTAATTTATTTTTTCTTAATACATTTGAGTATATTTTTTTCAAATATTTTTTGTTATATTTGTTATATTTTTTAGTTATTCCCGTTGTAGATTTTTTAAATTAAAGACATAAAAATAAATTTTATACAAATAACATGTATTCAAACACACATACATGTCATAAGACGAAGTAAGCAGCAATGTATAACCTCGTTAGTCAACAGCGTTGCCAAGTTTTCCGCGTATATTTCTTTAATTAATCAAATAGGCATACTTTTATCACTTTCTTGCTTGTATACAAAAAAATTATATGGTGGATGGAGTTCAAGTTTTGCAAAAACGTAAAAAAAGGTCTGCTCTAACTAATTATTAATTTTTTATGTAAATGGAAGCATTTTAAATGTATGTAATTATGTGATATATCAATCATGTAATGCAACTGTCATAAGACAACATGCATAAAACTCTAATTTTAGTTTTTTTTTTCTTAAAAACCACACGGTCAATTGGTTTGAAATTTTAATATGATATTAGTTTCGCTTTAAAGAATATTCTATATAATTTTTAAACAGATTGAAGTATTTTGATTTTGCTATCGAACCTCCTTAAGCTTTTTCTGTAAATTTTAATTTTTCCTATAAGTTTTAATCTTTGCAATAAATTTACACATTTTGAATCTTTTGAAAATTTACTTATAGAAAATAGGGGAAAGGTCTGTTTTTTACATCTTACAACTTTTCTTTAGAATTATTATTTATAAGATTTATTGTAGATTTCTTGCAAGTGTTGACAAATGACACTTTTTCAGAACCACTGTAATGAGTGTTCTCGTCTTATAAAGGTTTATATTTATTTTATTATAATTGAATTATAATTAATGTTCTTGATTTTTATATACTTTTAAGAAAATTGATGCACAAGTAACCAAAGATGTACCAATACTTGATGTACTAGAAATATCTGAAGACATACAATTTATACCATTATTATCGGAAGAGCTTACAGTGGTAAGTACCTTTTATCTTAAATGAAACATAACTATATAAGATTAAGATATAATTTTATAGATTCATATTTACATATTATATTTTTATTATTTAATATTTTCTTATTTATTATATCTAGACTGATAAAAAATATCTACTTCAAATTTTGCTTGACAATAAAAGTTAATGCAGAAGTAATGATATAGATTTATTTTCACTTTTCTAGAACCAGATTAAGCATACAGATTCAGACATAATATCTGCGTCTACATCGTCTGTTTCGACTTCAAATCAAGGAAATAAAAGGAAACGTACAGAACAGACTATTCAACCCCAGTACAATCGTCATTTCGCAGCTTTTAAAGCATGTGAAGAGTTGACAGTTTTGGTAATTTTTATTTCGTGATTTAAAGATTGTTTTTCATATACGTTAAAATTATTTTCCATATTTTTTATACTTTCAATCTTTGCAGAACTTTGAAGAACTTCTTAAAAATTATTCTATAAAAAGTGATGTTGCGCTTCAAAAATTCCAAAAAGAGGGAATGCTCACTGATGCAGATAGATCTGCCATAACTGAAGCTGTATCTAATACAATCTTGAAATTGAATAGTTTGTAAGTATTTGTTCCTTTAGATCTTCCACAGAATATAAGCAAAATGTTGAATTTTACATTCCTTTTTTTTGTTTTTATTAAATAGACCGACAGCTTCGGAATATAACATTGCAGCAAATAAGATTTGCGAATTGTTTCCATGTGAAACAAAAGTAAGTTTATTTAGTTTAATAATTAAAGAATTTTATATAAAATTTTCTCATAATTTTTATCAATATGTTATCAATATATAATTTTTTTAATATATTCTTTTTGTCAATATATTACCTAATTTATTTTTATTAAATATATAAATCAGTTTTTAACTTATAATTTATTTTTAATTTAAAAATTGTATTATTTAAAATTTATTATTATTCCTTATTACATTTTTTTTTTCTTAATTATACATATCAATGGATTCAAAATAGATTAATTAATTTTTTGTCTTAAATTCAGGAGTCATATTACTGTCCGCCAGTAGGCAAACATAGGAACGCTTTGGGAAAGCTTCCTGATAAGATAAAAAATATTAAATATCAAATAAAAAAAGCTGCTAATCCTTCAACTTCTTATTCCGGAACAATATCTTCTTTTGCTCAGAATGAAAGACAAATCACGCATCCTGCAAAGTTAGTAGGTAATAGATATAAATTTATTGTTCTCTTAATTTTATTATTTTTTATTTTTGTTTGATTGAAGATTTGTAGCTTTTAACTGTTCAGCTAAAATAATTAGCTAAAATCTCAGATATGAAATTTTTCAGGCAGTTGTAATCCGAACAATCCTGTAATTAAAACTGCAATTACTTGCTTGAAGCATGATAGTACAGAGTCTTGGCCTGAACTCCTGCGCAATTGGTCATTGACACATCCTTTAAGATTTAAATATCTTAGAGAAACAAGACCTCTAACATCGCATTCAGAATCTTTGGTTCAAGCATCTGAGGAAGATTCTGATGTGTCAGTGAATGATTATTTCAAACTTTGGAATGTGCTTCAATTGCCTAATGCATATCTATTGGTGAGAACATAAAATCTGCATGATTTGCATGAATGCAATGCTCTTTTTTCTTTTTGAATTTTTTTTTGCTATGTAAAGAAAATGTACTTAATTTTCAGATTCAGCAAGATTTTAGAGAATTATATCCCGGAAGAGAAGATGGTTTAATATCGAAATGGGATACAACCAAAAAACCTTTAATTAATCTTCTTAAAGCTGAAATTTCGAAATCAGATCAATACGGCAGAAAATTACTTACAGATTGTATTGCTACAGATACAAGTAATAATACAAAGAATATATTTGTTGTTCAATTTTTTAAGTATTCATTTTTGAAGCTTTATTTTAGTCACTTAATATGTCTTTTTTCAGATAAAAATGATGTAATTCTTTTTCATTTGTTGCCATCATTTTGTTGCAAGAGGACAAGAGGTGCAAGTGTGGGTGTACCATCTGTTGCAGAAGCCACAAATGCTTTTATACTTCATGTTCGGGTAATTATCGTTTGCAGCAAACATTTTTCGTTTATCAATAAAATCTATAAACTTATATGTATTTTAAAAAATATTTTAACAGATTCCGGGAGACTTAAATCGTCAAATTAATGCGCAGAGAAAGTGGCTGGCAAACAAAGGTCTGAGTTTGCAGCCAATGTTAATATTTGTTGGACAAAATTTGTCGGATATTACTGCGAGTTATGTTCAAATTGATACTGTACGGTATCAACTTCGCACTCCACTAAAGGCATTAGACACATGCTTCAAGGCGTTTCAAGCTTTGGATGCTGCATATCCAGAGGAATGTCAAGCAGTCTGGTTATTTATTCAAAAGTATTTTTATAGTTTATATCTAGAAGAAGATGAACAAATTCCTCGTGTAACAAATGTTCTCAGTTCTTTAAACGGATTAGTTTCGAAGATAAACAGTAGTGCTTAATATCTCTCTGCAGTAAACTAATAGTATTACTTGTAGTCTTTGATATTCTTATGATAAAAATATATTTTTATTTTAATCTGTACAACTTTATTTTATTTTGTTTTTCTTATTTTTACTTACTTTCCGTATTTTCCTTATTTTCCTTTTTTTCCTATATTTTAATTCCTATAGCTCGTTGATTTACTATATTTATTTACTAAAATGGTTTACATATGTAATGACTGCCATTTGCGTTTGCCTTCCATTAAAGCATTATGTTTTCACTTACGGATAGTTCATTTATATAACGTATTTAGTACATATAAATGTGCTCACAATCAGAATAATTGCAGCAGAGAATACAATTCAATAAAAACTTTTAGAAAACATTTAAAAGATAAACATCCTGCCCCTATGCTCGATGAAGCGCCATTACAGGCTTTTAATCAAGAGCATCTGGAAGAAATAAATGGAAATATAGAGTTAAATTTTGATATTGAAAATGCATTTCAACAAATTGATGGTCAAAACGAACAGATTATACATGAATTTGATTTTACTGCTCTTGATTTTAAGAAAGCTGTATTTGAGTCATCAAGAGCTTTGATTGCAAAATTATATGCTTCCAATACCTTAAATAGAACTCATGTACAAGAGATTATTGAACTTATTTCAGAATTTGTTTCTGGTGATTATATTACAATGCTTCAGTCCAAAACTTTGTCTATGTTACGAGGTATTAATGAAAGACAGCATGATATGGAACATTTGACTGAGATGTTCAATACAATGCAGAATGTATTTCAAGGCTTAAAGACTGAAACACAAAGAATAAATGCACTTAAAGCAAGCCAATCTTATGTATGTCCTCAATCTTACAGAATTGGAGTTGTAGAAAAAAATGATAAAAATTGGTGAGAATACAGTTTTAACACCAGTTGAATTAACAGGTCAATATATTCCAATGAAGCATGTTTTAAAAAATTTTCTAGAATTGCCTGATGTTTTTAATACTATTTTAGCTAATATAACAAATCTTAATAATACGGAAAAATTTACTAACATAATTCAAAGTCCTCTATGGAAAAATATTAAAGAATTCCATTTCAAAGATCGTTTAGTATTACCTTTATTTTTATATTTTGATGATGTTGAGCCTGATAATCAAACAGGCTCACATGCAGGTGATCACAGCCTTGGAGTATTATATTATCAAATACCCTGCATTCCTCAGCATCTTTTGTCCACT